TGTCCCCCTTGAATCCCGAGGTCTTGTCGTACTGCTCCTGCTCGAGCTTCTGGTCGTGCAGCGCCGCCCTGAAGCTCGGCGCCGTGTTGATCGTGTAGATGAGCTTGGCCTTGCACTGCTTGGTGTCCATCTCCACGTCTTCGCCCGTCTTGTTGTGCGCCTCCTGGATCTTGCGCTGCAAGAAGACCTCCGTGATGAAGATCGGCCCCCAGGGTTCGTCGAGCTGGCTCATGAACTCTTTCAAGAGCTGCCTCACGTGGAGGAGGGGCGCGTCGAGCTTCTGCTCCTCTGAGTCGAGCACCGCCACGATCTCCTCGACCAGGCTCGCCGCTACCTGGCCGTGCGGTGGGCCGAGGCCGTGCCCCTTGCCCAACTGCTTCACCTTCCGTCCGTACTCTTTGCCTGTCTCCATCGGCGCCTGCACCCAATCTGGCTCGAGCGGCGTCAGCCAGAACTCTCCCGTGAGATGCAAAAAATTGCGGATCTCGTTCGAGTTCTGGAGGGTGAGCCTCTGGAGCGATCCCAGCTGGTCCCGCAGCTCCACCTGTCCGCCGCCGCCGCCACCACGGCCTCCTCCTGGGGGTCCTCGACCGCCTCCTCCTCGGCGCTGTGTGGGGGGCGGCTGCTGGGGCGTCTGCTGCGACTGCGGCGTGTCTGACGAGCCGACTCCGCCGCCGCCGAGGTGCGGGCGCTGTGAGGGCGGCTGCCCTTCTGCTGCGCCCCCTCCTCTCTTCGTGCTGGCCCTGATGCGCCAGTCGCCGTGGCCCCCGTGCAACGTGTGCTCCCTCTCCCCGTGCCGCTCTGATCGACTCTGGCCCTGCTATGTGCTCGCGGATGTGTGCGTGATACTCCTCGAGAGTTTGAGCCTCGTGGTTACAGATCGGGCAGGTGAGGGAGCTGGGGTCGGAGATGGGGTGGGGCCACATCGACCTGTCTTGGTGGCAAATACCGTGGCCGTGGACAGCCCTGGTCGCATGGTCGACACATACCTTACGATTAATAAATGTGCTCTTGCACCAGGGGCACTGGTTGTTGACGATTACGGACGCCACCACTGGTCGGATGTTGTGAGACTCTCGGCGATGCCCAGCTAGTGCTGCGTATGTCGCAAAGCGCATGCTACACCTCTGTTCCGTGTCGTGTTCGCCCGTCGTCGTATGATCGCACCAGTAGGGTTTCAGTGATTCCTCCTCCCTGCCCTCCTCCTCCTGTAGCGTCGTATCTCGTGTCGTAAGCACGTGCCAATTTCGCTCGTTACTGTGCAATATTGATGGGTCGGTTTGCAGCCAGTTTTTTTTTGTTCCGCACTCCCCTGTTCGAATATGGCAAGGTCTGAGTCCCTTTCTGCATACCATCCCATGCTCTCGTCAACCTTTGCTATCGCCTGCGTGTCGGCTGCAAACTGCTGTGCCCACGGGGTGGAGGAGGGCCCCGCAAATCCCTGCCCTTCGAGTCGCTGAATACCCTGAGCCGCATCTAGTCTGGATGTCCCAAAAACCGCTGCGATGACTGCTCCGTGCTCCCAAGGGTGCCTTGACCAGTTCTGGTGCCATCGCAAACGTCGCACAAGTAAGGATACGGATGTACGCTCGAGTCTCCAGTATCTAAACACCTGTCGCAAGTTGTTGCACCTCACTGTCCCGTCCGCTCTGGTCCACGACATGGCTCCTCCCGCTAGCGTCCGTAGGTATTTGCCTAGTACGCTGTCGATTGCCGTTGTGTGGGTATCTGTCAGAACTAACGCTGGCAATCCGCTGAGGGCCGCACCAACGACGAACGCCATGAACATCATGCGTTTTATCTGTCGGGTTACCTTAGAGGCCCAGAAGATCCCGCATTGTCGCCATGCGACGCGGATGGCTGCGATACGCCGCACGACCTCGCCTGTGATGCCCTGACCAGCTGGTAGGTAAGGGCCAAGTACACGCATCTCCCTCAACGCCTGACCCTGCAGTGTTTTGCTGCGTCTGGGTTGTCTGGTTTTCCCGTATCAGCCTTGCCCTACTAGGTATAGTAGGTGGTTGGTCTTGGCGTTGTTGAGTCCCCATCCTCCTGCTGCAATTGTTTGGGAAAGGCGTTCGGTGTTGTTGTTGAGTTGGTGTTCAATATCGCCAGCCGTCGATGTTGGTAGGGTCGTCTGCACATAAGTGATGTCGTCCATGAACGTGTTGAGGGATAAGTCGTGGGTGTTGCCTGCGACTGGGTTAGTCGCGTCGTGGATAATTTGGTCTGGGTCCGTGCGGCCTTGTTCCCACCATTTTGTGACGTACATGTTGTATGCGTCGTTGAATTGCCTCGGGCAGAGGGTGAAGCCCATTTGAGCGCCTGTGGTGCTCTCAGCTTCGACGGTGCCGTCGGCAGCTTCGATCTTCAGGGTGGAGTGGTCAATGGCCCCATGGCGAAGCGCTGATCGTGCTCGTGGGCTTGCCTGAAGGCAACCGCTCTGAGTAGGGCTCGGTTGGTGGCTGCGAACGCGTTGGTGCCGTCGTGGTTGGTTGTGATTGTGCTCACCCCCCCTTGGGCAGCTCTCCATTGGGCCGCTTGTGCACAGAGGATGGCGTTTTCACGACAGCGGTGTGGGAGGCCTCCTTGGGCCCAGGGTGCATGTGATGGGGGTGAGCCACGTAAGTGGATGCCTGAGTGCCAAGCCATTCCAAAAGAACCGTACACGTGTAGTATACGCTTCCCTAGTATCCCCTCTTTGTTGTTGTGTTTTTCTGCTGGGAATGCTTGTGATCGGTGCCGGTCCAAGGGGGTAACCTGGCAGCTTCGGCATTGTGTAAGAAATTGATCAAGGTACTTCATGTATCCTTTGCTGTGATCTGCAATCTTGTCAGCACCTACCCCTGCAAACCTGCCCCTCCCCACTGCATAGGATTGCTGCTCCCAGGCGGCTCCTTCTGTCCCATCCGTCGCCGTCGGCGCACGACCCAGCCTAGTGCCGTCAGTCCACCCCATCCGTCGGAGCAGCCCCCTCCCCTTCTTGTATCGTCCCAATGTCGTGTAGTGTGCAATCTCGTCTTCGCCCCCCTGTTCTCTGCAGCTGCCACTCGCTTTTCTTCTAGGCGCCTGCTGAGCTCTGCTGGGTCCTGAAGATGGAGGGTGGGGTCGATCATCAACCATGTCATTTCGATCGGGATGCCCCAAGGCGGCCAGGCCCGTCGCTTGCTGGCTCGCTGACAATACCTGCGCATCGCTCGCTTGTCGGCCTCGACCTGAAAAAGTAAATCGTGGTCGATCGGCAGTCGGTCGATGTGTTCCTGGACGAACGCCTCGTGTACTGCTCTCTCTGCGTTCCTATCGATGGGCCGCGCTCCTAGCCCCCCTTCCAAGGCTGGGTGGGCGAGCTCCTGATACCAGTAGTCGCGTGGCCAGTGGGTTCGGGCTGATCGGTAGTACCTTTTCTTTGGCCCGCGCCCGTTCCTCTGGTACTGTATACGTAGTCGGTGCATCTCGGCGAGGTTCCGTTTTTCGTAGGCCCCCCATATGCGTTCGACCAGGAGCGCCCTTCTTTGTTTCTCGACACCTTCTCGGGCCTGCTTCAGCGCAGCTGTGATCTCTTTCAGCTCGTTTTGTACCCTGTCGTAGTCGTCGGCCCACTGTTCTGGAGTGAGGCTCTGTCGCAATGCTCTTCGCTGCCTAAGGAGTTCGAGTCGGTGTTGCTTGGCTCGCTTCGTAAGCTGGTCGATCTCGTCGGGAGAGCCGTTTTTGTCCGAAGGTTCTGAGCGTGGCCGATCGTGCCGCTCCCCCCAAAAGGCCCCAGGTCTCGTCTGGCGTCGCTGCTCCCAGTGCTCTCTCCCGCTGCTCCCCGCCCACCTCCTCCACCTCCTTGTCGAGTTCGGTGAGCAGCATCTCCCTCTTGTGGCCGCTGCGTAAGCATTCCATGAGGCCGCCCCTGCACAGTCCCTGTTGTAGGCGGGCGCGCGTGGGGAAGGAGGTGGTGGTAGTAGAGGCGAGGGGGGTGAGGCCGATGGGGAGGTGGTCCCTGTGTCCTCGTACTTTTACTTTTTGGAGCCTTTTGCCAGACCGATGGAGGACCTCACACCTTTTTATGAGTCCCAGGGCCCCTGTGGGTACAACGATGTGGTCGATACGGCTGTTATAACCTGAATGCCCGTAGAAGGTGGGTTCAGCGATGTGGTAAGTGGTAGCAATACTGAGGTCGCTGGTCTGACACAGGGTCTTGAGGCTCGTGCCGTTGGAGTTCTCAATCCTGGGCTCCCTGTCTCCTACCGTCGGTCCTCTACTTCGCACGATGGTCCCGTCGGTGTCTCGCTGGCAACCAAAGTCGCTGTTCACATCCCCGCCCATCACGATCGTCGTACGGCTGCCTACTCTGTCGACGCACTGCTCCAACCATTTAGTTATAGCGTCTGCTAGTGGCACGTAGTACGAGAGATGGGTGGGGGCGTAGTAGTAGACAAAGAGTACGTAGTCGTATTGGCTAGTCGAGAGGCGAATTCCTGCAACCCGTCCCTGGAGGCTGGTCGGTGGGGTGTAGATCTCTCGTAGGCTGCGCTCGTCGATTCTCTGGCTGATGAGGATCGTTAGGCCGCAGCTTTTGTTGATCCACTTCCCTTTGCGGGCACCGAATTGTAACACGTAGTGATTAGGAAGATAGTGTCGCTGCACTGCTTCTGCTCCCGCCCATCTACATGTGCCACTGAGGAGGATAACGTCCCAACTGTGTAGTTCGGCACTGATGTCCTCTAGTCGTTCGATGCTCGCTGCCTCCTGGGGGTTGTAGTAGCAGATTCTCATGCCTAGGCGCACGGACTCGCCATGCGGGCCCCCCAGTCCCCCCTGCCCCCGAGGCCTGCGGGTGTGGGCGCAGAATCGCTGGTGTACGGTTGTACGTGAGGTGCGGTCGGTCAACTTTTGGGCACCTCAAACAGCGACTGGGGGGGAGGAGGAGGAGGAGGAGGAGGAGGAGGAGGAGGAGGAGGACGGGAATCGGGAGGAGGGGGGCCATCGGCCGGGGTGTGGGCGCCGAGCCCCGCCTTCCACCTCGTCCAGTTGCCCCGCCATGTCCCAATAGAAGCAGGCCTCTCGCGCTCGCGCCGGCCAGCGGCGCGCGGGCGGAGGGGGGTCCTCCTCCTCCGCCTCGTCCTCCTCCTCCTCCTCCTCCTCCTCCCCCTCCTCTCGGGGCAGCGGAGCGCGCGCGTCCGCGGGGCGCGGCTCAAAACGAAACCGGGACGAGGGCAACATCGGACTCGCATCCAGGACTCTCTGGGATCCGGTGGCTCTGTGGGTGCCTCGGGCGCCGCGGCTGCCGCCCCCGCTCTCACTCTGGCAGCAGCGACCGCTGCCCGCCCGCGTGTTCGGTGCTACGCTCGGCGTTGGAAAGAGAAGTTTGCGACATCGATCTTCGAGCCCCCTTCCCCTCCTCGCCTCCCCCCTCGCCTCCTCCCCGAGAAGTTTGCGACAGCTGTGCTCGAAGGGGCACGCCATCCCTGTGAGGACACACAAATAAATACACACAAATAAAAGAAATCCCCATATTTTCTTGGTTTCTGTCTCCCCCCCCCACTTCCCATATTTTCAAATATTTTCGGGGGAGTCGAGGATCAATTGTGTCTGTGTGTTTCTTCTCCTCCTGATTCTCCCTCCGGCAGCAGCGGCCGCTGCCCGCCCGCGTGTTCGGTGTTACGCTTGGCGTTGGGAAGAGAAGTTTGCGACATCGATCTTCGAGCCCCCTTCCCCTCCTCGCCTCCCCCCTCGCCTCCTCCCCGAGAAGTTTGCGACAGCTGTGCTCGAAGGGGCACGCCATCCCTGTGAGGACACACAAATAAATACACACAAATAAAAGAAATCCCCATATTTTCTTGGTTTCTGTCTCTCCCCCCACTTCCCATATTTTCCAATATTTTCTGGGGAATCGAGGATTCATTGTGGCTGTGTGCTTCTCTTCCTCCTGAGTTACGCCTGGCGTTGGGAAGAGAAGCTTGCGGCACCGACCTCCGAGGGGCACGCCATCCCCGTGAGGCGACTCCCCCCGCGAGGGGGGCCCCCCTCTGAGCGCGCCGTCCCCCTGCCGGGGCTGCTTCGGTGCACGCCAGCTCCACGAAGAGAGAGAGAGGGAGGGGCAGCGCGTACTCCGGATCTCATAACAATGGGGGGGGGTCATTTCGGGGGGGGTCTCTTCCAAGCTATCTTGGAGGGCCTGGGGGGGTCTGGGGACGATGTTTTGGAGGGTTCTCCCACGGGGGGGGGGTCTGAAATGGCTTGTCTTGGAGGGTCCAGGCCCCCTCCCTTTTATTACGAAATCTGGAGTAATCAGCAGGCCGGCAGCGCGTACTCCCGATCTCATAACAATGGGGGGGGGGTCTGCTTCTGGGGGGGGTCTCGCGGGCTTCGTCAGACACACATCTGCGCGGGGGGGTCCCGATGTTGGACCTTTTGGTTGCCTGTCTTGGGGGGGGGGGTCCCAGACTGGCCGTCAGACACTTTTTTGACCCCCCCCCCCACGATCGTGATATTTGGAGTACTCAGCAGGCCGGCGGCGCCACCTCGCACGCGATCTCCCCCGCGCCAGCCGTAAGGGACCCCCTGGGGCCGGTCCCCAGCAATCCCGACGGGGTCTCGTCGCGTGCCGCCAACAAGATGGCACGCCATCTCCACGAAGAGAGGGGGGCAGCGTGTAATCAGCAGGGCCGGCGGCGCCGCCTCGCACGCGATCTCCCCCGCGCCAACCGCAAGTGACCCCCTGGGGCCGGTCCCAAGCAAATCCCGACGGGGCCTCGTCGCGTGCCGCCGACCGCCGTGCGGGGACCAGAAGAACAGGGACATCAAGAACAGACGCCTCCACATTTGCGGAGCTGGCCCAAGATCGCCTGCAGGCCAGTCCGAGGCCGTCTCCAAGACTGCCGAGATGGCCCCCAGATGTCTCCCAAAAGGCTCAAGGTGCCCCAAGACCGCCCACGACGGCCTCAAGATGGCTAACAAGATGGTTACGAAAAAGGCCCTTCAGGCGGTTCCCAAGATACCCAAATGACTTCGCTCCCATTGGTGCCGCACATATTTTCTCGCCTTTACGGGCTCCTGTTAACCGAAGGCGGCCCGACAAGCCTCGAAGATAAACCGCAGACGGACCCAGAAAACGGGCTAAGAGGGCCCCCAAACGGCCCCCAAGACGGCCCCAGATGCCTCCAATGCTGGTGGGGTCGGCCCCTGTGAGATCCTCCCAACGAGGGGGAGGGGAGGGGGGGGAGGGGGGGTGGAAGGACCAGAGGGGACATTTTGCGGCGTGGCCAATACGTCGTCTAGCGCACCACCCAACAGGCGCGAAGGCGATCCACTACCCTCTCGATCGCGGGCCCTGGAGGAGCAGGCTCTGTGACCAGTCTTCCCTGGCCCTTTATAGACGAGCGCGTTCCACTACTCGCAAAGCGACCACTCGCAAATGGCCTGGATCCGCTTGGGGGGGGATCTGCGAGAAGCATCGAATCAGACACGTGTTCTTCGGGCGCTTGCGAGGAGGCACTCTGCGAGTAGTGGAGCGCGCCCGGTGACTTCAAGCGACCGATCGCCAGGATGAAGCCGAGGATGCCGGGGACCCTGACCTTCCAGAGAGCTATTTTTTAGCACTGGGGGCCTAAAAACCAAAAAACTTAGCGAAACAGCCTAAAACCAAGACGTAGAATAGCTTTGGGATAGGTTTTTGAGTCGCGTGCTATTTTTTAGCCCTCTTGGAAGGTCAGGGGAGGAGGGCGCCGGGTGCCGAGGCTGCTGATGCTGCGGGGCGCTCGCGGCCCCCCCGGCGCCGAGCGCCGGGAGAGGCCCCGTGGGGCTCGCGGCGGAGGCCCGCGGCGGAGGCCCGCGGCGGAGGCCGCCCGGGCAGGCCTCTCTGCCCACAGATCCGATGTCGAGGGCGAGCCCCCTGCGGGGCGGACGCAAGGCGCCCCTGGGGTCTGCCGAGAGAGGCGGCCTGCAACCGGCGAGAGGAGCGCCCTCGGGGGCCGGCGCGAGAGACGCCGGGTACAGGAGCTCGCCATCGCTCGGACGTCCATTCCCTATGTTTTTTTCGGTTTCGTGCGTGGTTTTTTCGCGAAATGATCAAGGATGCTCCTCGATGGTCCTCGCCGAAGAAAAAACGCCGGCGCGAGAGACGCCGGGTCCAACGAGGGGCCCCCAAGCGGCCCAGGGGCCTGCCACGCGAGGGAGGCTTTCGTGCGTGGCGGATGTCTGGCTATCTTTTGGGGGCCCTCGCAGGGCTTGCTCGGGGCCCCTCTGTTGGCGTGCTTGGAGACTTCTCCTAGGCTTCAATAAACGCATTCTAGAGAGCCCCAAAGGAGCCCTAGACGGCCCAACGACGGGTCCTGGAGATCCCTGTTGCAGCTCCGCCTCATGGAATTGGAAGCAGTGGGGCAATCTTCGTTTCTGCTTTTGCTGGCTGTTCGTCTTCTCTCACATGCCCTCTCTCGCATTTTCGTTTTCGAAAAAGGGACCCTGCTGCTCCTCTGATTATTTGTTCTGCCTCTCCTGCATTTTCTTCCCTTCCTCATCAAATCTCCTCAACTTCATCTCATCCATCTCATCCCCTTATCTCCACCTCCTTATATGTCCCCCCTCTCCTCCACATCCGCCCTCTTATCCCTCCATATCGTTCCCTTCCCTCTCCTCTGCCTGCTCACCTGTACTCTCTTCCTCCTCCTCCCAAAGAAGACGAGGAATGATGAGGAGGAGAGAGTAAGATAGTGAGGAGACTGGGGAATCCAGAAAAGAGGAGGACTATTAATGAAGTGCGAAGGAGGGAGAAGAGAACAGGGAGGACGGAATGCCGTCGTCCTGATGGGATGAGTTGCAAGGTGAGACTCTGTAGTTCCAGCGGAAAAAACATTCGTGGAGTTTGGAATACTAAGGAGGAGGACATGGAGGAGAGGAGAAGGAGAAGGAGAAGGAGAAGGAGAATAATGATGAGGATGATGATGATGACGATGATGGTGATGATGATGGTGGTGGTGGTGATGATGATGATGAGGAGGAGGAGGAAAAGGAGGAGGAGGAATGAGAGAGGGTGAGCAATAAGAAGGGAGTTCGAAGAAGAAATGTGGAGGAACGAGGAGGAAGAGGGAGGGTCTTTGGAGATCCCGTCTCCGTGGAGGCCAATCGCGGAAGAACCGCAGAGACAGACCCGAAGGACAAACAACCACTACAGTCGGGGCGTTGACCTAAGGAACCCTAAATAAGGAACGAGGCCTCTTTTTCCCATAAGTTAAACTTCGATTTCCCATCGAAACCCCAAGCACAACCAAGGGCGAAGTGCAAAACAACTGAGGAACACCGAGCCCCTCCCCAACGAAAAGGGCTCCTTCCTCCGCGCCCTCGCAAAAGGCTTCCCCCGCAGGGCCTCCTCCCGGATGTCTGTGGGATGGAGAGCGCAGGGCCCGGGCCTCCGACGGCGTGACTTCCTTGCAAACGGGGACCCCCCGAAAACTGCCCCCCTTCCCAGGGCCCCAAAGCCATACGCCCTGCGAAATGCTTAAGACATCATGGGTTAAGAAATTCATAGTCTCAGAACTTGAATCAAAACCCAACGTTTCTATTAACATCTTAAGATTTACATTGAAACGTTAAGAATAATCGAGAATCTGGCCGAAAACTGAAGTTTTCTTAAGCATCGCCTAAGGTGGATTCTGACCGCGAGCCGTTCTCTGACGGCCCCCGGGTCCGGCGAAGGCCCCTCGAGGCTGCAAAAACTGCCAGGAGCCGTGGTGCTATTTTTTTCCCGCGACGCGAGCATGTCTGGGGAAGCAGGAGGGGGGAGGACCCTGACCTTCCAGAGAGCTACTTTTTAGCACTGGGGGCCTAAAAACCTAAACAACTGACCGAAACAGCCTAAAACCAAGACGCATAATAGCTCTGGGATAGGTCTTTAAGTCGCGTGCTATTTTTTAGCCCTCCTGGAAGGTCAGGGGAACTCTCCCATTGAGCAGGGAGCGACCGTCCCTGCATTCCTGTAGGCCTGCCGCAAGCTGTTGCTGGAACCCCAAACAGCAATACCATAACAAAGCCAAGTTCTGATACCACACGCCAGATGTGTCAAAGCAAGACGGCCCCAGCCAGAATTGTTCGAAGAACGTGTCGCGCAAGCCACAAACGGTTCGAACAACCTTCTTTGGTGGGCCTGCAGGCAAGCCAGGACGCTTCGCCACTGCTCGGTCCAAGGTGGACGCGGGCCTCGTCCTCGCTCGTGGCGCGCACGAAGGCGGGCAGCTCCTCAGCCCAGGGGGGGCTCCCCGGCAGGGCCCTGTACGCTGACCCCCTCTGCTCCCCGGACCCCCCTCCTCTCCGAGGCAGGGGCTTGTACAAGCATCGCCCTTTTTTGTTGACCTATCCTTCCGGACGAAGATTCACAATCATCGTGCTACCATAACATGGGGGCGAATACTTGTGTTGAGTGCAACTTTCCGCCGTCGGGGACGCCTGCCCCCCCGGCGGCTGCAAAGTTCATACCCCTACGGTGCCATAGTGAGGAACGAAGGGGCTTTGCTGGCAACGACGGGCTTGGGCCAAAAACAGGTTCCACGACACAAGTCTGAGGAACGGCTTGAAATCCCCCGAGCCCCTCCTGAGCCCAAAGCGGTCCTTATTTCAGCGCCTTGACTGCACTGCTGATCCCCATGCCCCGTGCCCATTGTCCGCCACCGCGCTTGCAGCGGTTGGTCAAAGGGGGTTCCCCAATTTTTGTTCAAGACTTTCTGGAGCTCCGTCTTCTCCCCCACTTCCCATTCGTTGCGTCTGCATGCTCTTTCTAAAACAGGGCTAGGATCGGGATCAATCGCTCCAGAGCGTTCCGGAGCGCTCTCAGAGCGTTCTGGAACGCTCTGGAGTGGCCGCGGCGCCTAATACATCCTCCAAACCCGCCGGTTCTCAGAGACTTCGAGTTATCCCGATCCGATTCTGCCCGATCTTCGCGTCGTTTTACTTTCCCCCTCCTGACTGGCGTGTGCCGGGCCCTTTTGGCGGCGCGCACAAGGGGGTGGGGGGAGGGGGGAAGGCTTCTTAGAAGGAGGCTGCTTCTTAGAAGGCGCCGGCCTTACATCTATAGAGCAGGCCCGCGCCTTCTGAGAAGCAGGGGTGCTTCTAAGAAGCCCTCCCCCCCCCCCTCCCCCCTCTGCGCGTGCCGGGCCCTTCCCCGCGAGCGGCGGCGGCGGGGCCGGCGGCGCCGGCGAGAGGCGCGGCCCCGCAGAGGGGCGGACGGACGGCGGCGGTGGGCTCCCAGGCCCCGCCAGCGCCAGCGACGCCTCGCGTGCGCGCCAGGCCGACGCCGTCGCCGTCGCTGCCGATCGACTCGCCATCGCTCGGACGTCCATTTTTTTGTGTTTTTTTCGGTTTCGTGCGTGTTTTTTTCGCCAAATGATCGAGGATGCTCCTCGATGGTCCTCGCCGAAGGAAAAGCGCACACGTCCGAGCGATGCCAAATCGAGCGAGGGTCGATCGAGGACCGAGGATCGAGAATCGTCGTCGTCGCCGATCGATCGGCATCGGTCGTGTGCGCCAGGTCGCCGTCGTCGCCGTCGCTGGCCTCGCCGCTATGTGTTCGAATATGGACTCCTTGTTGCCCATCGGCCTTCGGCGGTCTCAGGCGGTCTTCGGCGGTCTTCGGTGGTCATCGGCGGTTTCCCGCGGTCTTCGGCGTTCTTTGGCTCGGAAGGTGGACGACTGTGTTCCACAAGGGGTCTTTGATCGAACACCAAACGTCGGCGTCGGGGGATAGGGCGAAAGCCGATCGAGGATCGACCGGCCAAGGTTATTCCCTCAAGTTCATGGCCCGTGGAATCAACATGGAGTCGGCGACATAGCGCCGACAGATCGGCGACAAGCACCCGACAACATAACCGCACGGCCCCATGAGGGGTGGGCTATCGGGCCCCTACTCGCCATCGCTCGGACGTCTATTTTTTGTGTTTCTTTCGGTTTCGTGCGTGTTTTTTTCGCCAAGTGATCAAGTATGCTCCTCGATGGTCCTCGCCGAGAAAAAACATGCACATGTCCGAGCGATGCCAGGCCTATCGGCAATGAATGTGCGATTGGGGGTCGATGCATCCCGCCCTCAGCCCAACCCCTCTAACGTTGCCCCTGATCGTCGCCGTCGCCGGTCAAGCAATGGTCGATCGAGGATCGATCAACGAGGTCGTGTCGAGAATTTCTGTCCCAATTTTTGGGCTGTTTGGGGCCATCAACAACGGGTCCTGGACGGAACACCTGCCCCGCGGGAAAACTGTGGGACCCTCGGGGTACACGCCTCGCATGTTCCGTGGCCCCGTCAGGAGCTTCACCGAATGCACCAGGGGGTGGTGCCGCATGTCGTTCTCCCGTCCACTTCGGCACACCACTCACACGCTTCGTAGCCCCATAGGGCAGTTCCACCGAAACCACCAGACGGTGGTGCCGCACGACGCCTCCCAGCCCATTCTGGCACACCCCTCCCATTTTCGCAGCCCTATCCATGGAGCGCCACCGAACCCCCCGGAGGGTGGTGCCGCATAGCGTCCCCCAACGCCTTCGGCACACTCCTCACGCGTTTCGTGGCCCCAAGCGATGCTCCAACCGAAGCCCCCCAGGAGAGGGGGGGGCACAAAGCAGTCTCTGACCCCTTTCCGCACACTCCTGACAAGATCCGCGGCCCCATACGGAGCTCCACTCGAGGCCCCAGTGGGCGCGTGTCCACATGCGGCCCCCCGCTCGCGTCGGCACGCGCTCGTGGCCTCGTAGGGAGCTCCATCGAAGGCCCCAGTGGCGGCGCCCGCGTGCGGTCCCCGTCCCATCTCCGGCGCACCACTAACGCGATTCGTGGCTCCATAGGGAGCTCCCCCTGAGGCCCCCAGAGGGTGCGCCCACATGAGGACATTGGCCCATTATCGGCACACTCCTCACACGCTTCGTGGCCACACAGTGAGCTCCACCTCAGGTCTCAAGGCGTGTGCCCACGTGCGCCCTCAGCCACTTTTTGGCACACGCCTGACACGTTTCGTGGCCCCATAAGGAGCTTATGCTGCAGTGGGTGCGCCCATTTGCAGCTTCGTCGATTTCGGCATACCCCTCACACGTTTCGCGGCCCCACAATAGGGAGCTCCCCTTCCTTCGTTCCATCGTGCCTTGTGGTACCCACGTTTGGGCAGATGGCTGGGCCTTTTGCCACGATGATGTAACGTTTTCAACCTGTCAGGTCCCACGAGACAGCGAATAAGTATAGCGCCCAAACCCATGGCGATTCTAATATGGATGAACTGATTTCGGAGGCGCGCCGCGTGGATTGAGTATGTCGGCGCTGGATCCACATGCCTAGCGCGGACTCGCCGCCCAAGAGGGCCCAACGCCGACCCACAACAACCGCTCGCTCACACCTCCGGGAATTGATGTATGTGTCCCCTGGTTTCGTTGATCATTCCCCCCCTTCTCCTCCTGCGGGCCCTTGCCTCTTCCCGTTCTCTACCACCGCCTCCTCCACCTCGACCGGCCGAGGGGGAAGGGGGATCATCCCCACCCGGGGTGAGAGGAGGGAGAGGGGGAGGAGGGGGCAAGCTAGGTGCGTTCGCGCCCCATCTGACATCCGATCCCTTCCCCCCCGTCCCTTCCCATGGCGCTGATTTATTTCTATCCGCTGACGCGTGTCATAGCCGACCTGCGAATCCCACACAAAGACCACTTAGTGTTATGTGCAATCGGAGAAAAGGGCAGCTGCGTACACAGGAGGAGGAGGCGGAGGAGGAGGAGGAAGAGGAGGCGGAGGTGGCGGGTGAGCAGGAGGATGAGCGGCAGAAACAAGGACGAGGACGGACATCAACAGTAGAAACTGAAGCGGAAGGATCGGGAGGAGAAGGATGATCAGGGGGAGGCGGAGGAGGGGAAATGAGGAGGGCGACAACGATGAAGACAGACTCGGATTCAGAAAAATGGCCCGCGCTGGCGCGACACGAAAAGCAACAACAAGACCAGGAGTGGAAGGAACACGGGAAGCACGAGGACCCGGGGAAGGCGGAGGATGGAAAATAAGAAGGGGGGCACAATGACGCAAGACCCAGATTGAGAAAAGTGGCCCGCGCTGGGGCGAGAGCGCCATTCTGAACGACGAGAACAGAGCGCCAATCCGAAACGAGGAGGAAGAGGATGTGGAGGATGTGGAGGAGGAGGATGAGGAGGATGAGGATGAGGAGGAGGATGAGGATGAGGAGGGAGGAGGGGCGCGCGGCCTGGCGAAACAGCGGTGGCCGAAACGCGAAATGGAACGGAGGGCATACCCAAGAGCTAAGGGCAGGCCAGCTGAGCGACACATATAGGGAGGAGGAGGATGATGATGATGATGATGAGGAGGAGGAGGAGGAGGAGGAGGAACAGACGGCGGAGGAGGAGGACGAGGAGGAGGAGGAGGAGGATGAGTAGGAGGAGGACGAGCAGGACGAGGGAGAGGAATAACACGAAAATGTCGTGGCGTGGGGGGGGAGGAAGAGTCGGAAGCGGAGGCGAAGGCGGAGGAGGAGGATGAGGATGCTGAAGAGGAGGAAGAAGAGGAGGAAGACGACGACGATGAGAGGGATGATGATGATGATGATGATGATGATGATGATGATGATGATGAGGATGATGATGAGGATGATGAAACTGAGGATGATGATGAGGATGATGAGGAAGATGAGGCTGAGGATGAGGAGATGGAGGGGAAGGATGATGATGCTGATGAAGATGATGGAGATGCTGATGATGCTGATGATGCTGATGCTGATGAGGAGGAGGAGAAGGACGACCAGGCGGAGGATGAGGAGGAGGAGGAGAATAAGGAGACGGCGGAGGAGGAGGAGGAGGAGGAGGAGGAACAAGAGGAGGAGACAGAGAAGGACGCGGCGGAGGCGGAGGACGATTCGGAGGCGGCGGCGGGGGAGGGGGAGGGGGGGGAGGGAGAGGCGGAGGACGCGGTGAAGGGAGGAGGACACGGAGGAGGAGGAGGAGGACGAGGAGAGGAAGCTGAGGAGGAGGAGGGGGAATACGAGGAGGACGAGGAGGAGAAGGAGGAGACGGAGAATGCTGAGGAGGAAGATGACGATGAGAACGCGGATGAGGATGAGGAGGATGAGGAGGGGGGGATGACGAGAAGGAGGAGGAGGAGGAAGAGGAGGAGGAATAGGCGGAGGATGATGATGCGGAGGACGAGGCGGGGGAGGAGGAAGAGGCGAAGGCTGAAGATGATGATGATGATGATGATGATGATGATGATGCTGCTGATGATGATGATGATGATGATGAGGAGGAGGAGGAGGAGGAGGAGGACGAGGGAAAGGAGGATGAGGACGAGGATGAAGCGAATGCGGAGGAGGAGGACGAGGAGAAGGCGGCGGCGGAGGAGGAGGAGAAGGAGGAGGAGGAGAAAAATGCTGATGATGCTGATGATGATGATGATGATGATGATGATGATGATGATGATGATGATCATGCTGATGCTGCTGCTGATGATGATGATGAGGAGGAGGGGGAAGAGGAGGATGTGGAAGTCGAGGTAAGAGGAGGCGGAGGAGGGGGATGAGGAGGATGAGGAGAAGGAGCAAGAGAAGAAGGCGGCGGAGGCGGAGGAAGAGGCAGAGGCGGGGGAGGGGGAGGGAGGGGGAGGGGGAGGGGGAGGAGGAGGGGAGGGAAGGAGGGAGGGAGGCCGGGAGGAAGGTAGGAGGGGAGAGAGGAAGAGGAAGAGGAGGAGGCGGAGGAGGAGGAGGAGGAGGAGGAGGAGGAGGAGGAAGGAGGAGGAGGATGAGTACGAGCAGGATGGATGAGGAAGAGGAGGCGGAGAAGGACGAGGAGGAGGGGGAGGACGAGGAGCAGGACTATGATAATGAGGAGCACGAGGTGAAGGGAGAATGAGAAGGAGGAGGAGGAGGAGGAGGCGGAGGAGGAGGAGGGGGAGGAGGAAGAGGAGGGGAGGAGGGGGAGGAAAAGGAGGAGGAGAAGGAAAACGACGAGGAGGAGGAGGAGGAGGAGGAGGAGGAGGAGGAGGAGGAGGACGAGGAGGAGGGCGCAGGCCGCTGCGCCTGTTGCAAGAGCGGAGCCCGAGCCAGGGGCCAAACATCAATGCGGCAAGGATCTGCATCCTAGCGGGGGAGCACCTGCAAGACGGAAAGGAAGCCCCGCCTGATCCTTCGTCGAACCCGCCATCCCCTGGTGAAGGTGCGTGACCCCGCAACGCCAGGACCACGACGCAGTCATATAGAGGTATGCAGCGGTGGAGGAGCGGCGACGGGCGACGGGAGGGGGAAACCACTTTCCCAATTTAGCACATGTCTTGGGGTGCTTGCCTGCCTCCAACCTACGAGCACTCATCCGCTGGTTCGCTTTGGTGAACAGGTTGCGGGCGAAGCCTTTGCACCCGTAGGCGAGCTGAGAAAGGACCCAATGACCCCCGCATTTGAGGCAACAGAACTGCTTCCTGGCACGAAACACGGCATGGCCCAGGCTCTCGAACTCAGGAACACGCCCGGGACCATGGGCCGCGGGGGTGGGAGGGCCCTGGGCCTCCTCGGACCCTGGGGCCTCGTCCTGGGTGAGCCGCTCAGCGGCGTTAGCCGCAACTTGCACCGCATCACCTCGCTACACACTGAACGTGCCTCCGTGGGCACTAAGCCATGCATCGTTAGCTAGCCTCTGAACGGGTGAGGGCATGCAGTGCTGGGTGGCTCTCTGAGTGAACATGGCCTGGAGGGGAAGCATCGATCGAGCCCATCTGCCGCAGCCACATCGCCTCCACTCTCCGAGCTCAGCACTGTGCCTGATCGCGTGGCTGGTGACCGAGACAGTGGGTGTGCGAGGGGGCTGGAGCGAGATAAGAAACTCATCTGGCTCAACAGTCCACCTCTGGCTCTGCAGCACACGTTGTGCCGCCCATGCCAGGAACTCGATATATGTCTTGTGATTTATGATATGAATGCTCTCCTGCCAAAGCCTTGCAAAAACCATCCGAAAGAATGTGAGTTCCGAACCGAGCTTCGCGACAGAATCCGCCCAGAAATTACCAGCCCATCGCTCCAAGGACACACCTTGAGCGATGGCTTCGTCAACGGTCATATGGGAAACCAAGCAAACTGGGGGGGGGGGAACGCGCTCTTGCTGGTGCACAACAGTGTTAGCTCCAACTGGCCCCAGGAGTTTCCTTCACTCACAGTAGCCTGAAGGTCAAACGCCACAACGCTGGTGCAGGGTGCGTGCCATAATTGAAGGGGCCCTGGGACACACACATAGATAGACACAAATAAAACATATTCCCCATATTTTCACATATTTTCTGGGTTTTTGTCTTCCCCCCACTTCCCATATTTTCCCACATTTTCTGGGGAATCGACGATTAATCGTGTCTGTGTGTTTCTTCCCCTCCTGAAAGAACGTCGCGAGCTGGACGACAGACCATCTGGCTCGCGAGACTTCAGGCGTACTGGACTAGAGACAGCTCCAGTCGAGGAAGCGTTCGGGCCCCCGGTTTCCGACACCTCTCCCCACTCGAAAACCTGGGGGCGGGCCTCAGGGGCCTTCACGCCATCGGACAAACCTGAAGGGGCCCTGGGACACACACACACATAAATACACACAAATAAAATTATTCCCCATATTTTCTCATATTCTATGGGTTTTCGTCTTCCCCCCACTGCCCATATTTTCCCATCTTTTCCGGGGGATGGACGATTAATCGTGTCTGTGTTTTTTCCCCTCCTGAAAACTGGGGACCCCAAGGGTGAATGGGTGGGATCCGACGAGAAGTTCCCGCGGGCATCACGGTGGCTCGGAAGGGCAGCGGTCACAGGCCCCCCCCCCCAGAACGTCAACGTCACCGTCCTTTATATATAATATATATATATATATATATATATATATATATATAGACGTCAGTAGGGGGCAAACAAACCTACCTCGCTTTTGACCACCCTCGCTTCCAAGAGATACCAAGCGATGCCAAACTACGGCCTGTACTGGTCAGGCCGCTTGACGAGGAGGCGCGTGGTATGACTTGGTTTTGCCTGGAAGCGAAAGCGGGGCAGGCAATTCACGCTCTGAGTCAGAAGAGTACCACACGTGCCCATAGGAACCAACACTGAGGACGAGGAGGGGGAGGAGGGCTGAAAGCGGGGGAGGAGGAGGAGCACTAGGAAGAGAAGGGGACTGGGGAACAGGGAAGCAGGAGCAGGGGGAGGAGGGTTGGGGGGGTGGAGGGGAGGGAGGGAGGAAGAACCGTCGCCCTCGTTGGCTCGGAAAGGGGGGCGAGAGCACGCCGCTTGCGCCGCCTGGGAGCCGGCCGAGGCAGGATGTCCACGAGGCGGTGGACTCGAGCAGCAGCCGCACGGGCCTCGCGCCCGGAGACCGGGGGGGGGTGAGTCAGAGGGCGAACGGGGCGCGCCCGGACACCCCCGCTCGGAGGTTCCGATGCACAGTCGGACGGAGCTCCTGGGGGGCCGTCGTGAGAAGGGCTGAAGGCTTTGAGGCTCGAACGTCGGGAGCGGCCAAGAGGGGGGCGTCCAAGAGGGGGGGGGTGCAACACATGGCCGGCGGCATGTGCGCGGCCCAGGGGGGGGGCCAGGGACGTAATGAAATAAGAAGAGGCGCCATGACATCTGGGGAAATATCGTGGCCCACGCCATCATATCCACCCCCCATAGTCATCACCCCCCTCTCTGCCGCCCCCGAGAACAAGCGGCCACTGCGCCAGGCGGGATTCAGCCGGGGATCCAACCGACCTTAAAACAAAGAAGGGATGATTGAGACAGACGAGGCCGGCTTTCGACTACGGACGTACCAACGCCGATGCTGAATGCAACCTCGTAGGAGCTGCATCCCGAGATGCAATGAATCTGCACGGGCTCAGCAAGTTCTGCCGGGACGACGACCGAGAATGGTTCCAGCCAGGTCGCATGGGCTCCCGGTGTCGCTAGAAAGGAGGGAGGAGGGAGGAGGGAGGAGGGGGAGGGAGGAGGGGGGAGGGAGGGGGGAGGAGGGAGGAGGGAGGAGGGAGGAGGGAGGAGGGAGGAGGGGGAGGGAGGAGGGAGGAGGGGGGAGGGAGGAGGGAGGCCTCTCTTCCACCCGCCCCGCTCATCCTACCCCGCCCCCTACCCCTGGAGCGGTGGGGCCCCCCTCTGCATGCAGGCCATGCGCGCCCAGTTGCCTCCCTGGCCGCGTCGCTTTTCCCCGCCGCCGCACCGCCAGGCGCTCGGGGGTGCCCAGAGGCGTCCCTGGCCCAAGGTGTCCTCGGCCTCTCGCTTCGCTTTGGCTTCCCTGGATGATTGCCCGTAACCGTGATGGTCCGGGACCTCTGTGCCTCGTGATGGCTGCCCTGGAGTCCGTGGGGGCGTCCCTGGAAATCCTGGGGACACCCTGGGCCAGGGACGCTTCTGGCAGCAGCCGAAACGTGTCCATCGGCCGGCCCAAGCGCTACGCTTCGGATTTCCCTGCTGCTTGCTGTTTCTGAGGCAAACAGACTCCCGCACTGACGCGGATGGAGCTCCGTCGATAGCAGGCCTTCGCGCTGCGCACAGTCGTCTTCCAACAACTACGAGGATGGATACCGGTGCGTTTACAACACAACGGCTCTCATCTCCCCTTCACTGTATGGCCCGAGATTCCAACAAACATCCGGATGGGGGTGGTTCCTTATTGAAAACTCGGACTGTTGGGAGATATTTCCGAATATCTTACGGCCAGAAATGCGACAATGCGCAACATTTACACGGATGGAGGGCATACGGTCCTTTTCACAAAGAGGGTGTCGCAGGACACTTGTTTGCGCTTCAGGTTGCTAGAACTATTCCAAGATGGCAGGTGGATCCTTTACAAACCGGGGTCTCGCCTCGGTTGCAAGCCCCCTGTAGCTCCTCCTGCCATTGGCTCCTCAGCTCCCGTAACTACGCGATGCTGTCCTGGTGGAGGTCCAGCCCCTGGCTTAGCTTCTCGTCGAGCTCCTCCGTCAGCCTTTGCAAGACCTCGGCGCGGGTGGAGTCCTGTCGCCTGGGGGGCCTTGAAGGCGGCGGCGGGGTCGGCCATGCCGTCGAGCTCCTGCATATAGAGCAGTCCATCTCTGGGGGGGGGGCGGACTCATTGCAGCCTCGCGGGCCCCGCCTGCCGGACGCGCTCCGAGGCGATGCGAGGCTCCCGTTTCTGCCGTGCCGTGGGTGCCTCATCCCCCGCATCGCGCCCCTGGGGGCTGGCCCGCAGCTCGGTCGGCGGGCTCGCTGGTGGGAGAAAAGGGGGGGCGGACGGGGAGCTGCGGCACGGTCCAGCCCCCCGGCCAGGGACTCTCGGACGCCGGGCGCGCGGACCACCTGCGCAAGAGGTTGCGCCTCGCGCCCCGCAGCGCGCCGCCGCCGAAAGACCTCACCAGCCTGGACGCGAACGGGCCCGTGGAGCACGGCTGGTGGACCGCGCTGGGCACCACCTGCCCGCCTCGGCCTGTGCCTCGGCCAGGGCGCCCAGCGCGCCCGGCCCTGCCATGGCGGGGGCGGCGGCGCTCGGCGGCCCCTGCCGGTGGGCTTCGCCCCGCGGCCTGGCGATCCCCTCGGCGATCGAGGACGCCACGCCCAGCTGCGGCACGTCGACGACCAGCCGGGGCTCAGCATGGGGGGTCGTGGCTCGGCGGCTGGGCCCCCCGGGCACGCCCCACGAATCAAGCAGTGGCGACGCGTCCTGGCTCGCCCTATAGCCCTACCAAACAATGTTCTAACAACCTTTTGCGGTTTCCACGAAATGTTCTTAGAACATTTCTGGCTGGGGCTGTCTTGTTTTAATACGTAAGGCTTAAATTCTAAGAACATTGTTTTGTTCTTAAAACATTCTGGGATTTCGTGGTAGGACTATAGAAATACCGGGACGGTCTGTCCCTGCTCAAATGAAACGATGCAGGCTGGGGGGACCAGGTGTGGTGCAGCCAGGCACCAAGGCAATGTGCGGCCTGCTGCTCGTGAGGCGGCCCCTCCCCCAAGCCCGCGCGCTCCTGCGGGCGTCGGCGCCCTGGCGGGTGGCGCCTCGGGGGCGGGGGCGTCCGCGGGCCAGGTCAGGGGTGGCACGCCCTGGGACGGCCCCTTTGCGCGACCCGCGGGCTGGTCGGATCGGCGTCGGCGCCTTGCCTGCAGCACTGCTGGCGCCGACGTGTCCGCCCGGGAGCGTGCTGATGCCCAACCTCCAGCAGCCGCAGTAGGTTCACTTCAGCCCGTGCTGTTGCCCACGGCACTGCGGCCCATGGTAGCGACGCAGGGGTAATTATGGCCCGCGTTCCGCACTCCTCGATCAGGGACCCTTGGCCACTACTCCTCGCGTTCTTCCCAAGCAAGGAGGTTGAGGGGCATGACCGCAGGCTCCCCGCAGGGGTGGGATGAGCCCGCGCGACGCCGTCGGCGCAGAGGGGTGCTCGCTCCCATCTCGCTGTCGGAAAGGGGTCGCGGCCGCTGGCCTCAGCGCCGCCTGGCCCCGGCGCCCCTCGACACGGCGGCCGCAGCCTCCCCAAAGCTCTCCCCAGAAAAGCGCCTGGGCCGTCCAGCAGAGCGCCAGCAGCGTGAGGGTGTGCCTTACGGGGCGCCTCCGCTCCTCGTCCTGGATATCGAACGCCACGTCAGCGCCGATGGCGGCGTGTGCGGGCGCATGCACGGAGTTCGGGTCTCCTGCTTCTAGGCATGGCTGCGCTTGGCAGAGGTCAGCGCCTTGCGTCTGGCGCTCACAACGCCGCCGTACTGGAACGCGGCACCATGCCGGTTTGCAGTCTTCGACTTCCCGGGGGCCCTTCTCCAGCCCGACCGTCCCGCCCAGCGCGATCACGACATGTTTGGGCGCCCGAGCTGCGTTGCGCCGACGGATCTTCGTCCTCAGGAGGCCCGCAGAGGGGCCTCTCCACTCGTGCTGCGTGGCTGCGAGGCAAGGGTCGGCGGGCTGCGTGGGGTCGGCGCCAGCGGCCTGGCGGCAGCGTCGGCAGCCATTCCGGATGGTGGAAGCGGCCGAGCAGACTGGCCAGGACCTCTAGTCGAGGCCGTAGAGCAGGAACGCGGCCCGAAAAATGCCAGCGTCCAGCCCATGACCCCCTTCAGTGCTACCCATCTGTGGCCCAGGGCGAGCGTCCCCGCACGTCGAGGAAAACCCAGACGTGGCTGCACGCGAGAGCCGCCGCCCAGCGCGCGCCGCCTGCGGCCCAGACGCCCCAGGTCTCCTCCGGCTCCTCCTGGGGACTGGCGGCAAGCGCGGGAGGGGAGGGGTCGCTGGTCGGGTGCGCCCCGCCGTGCCCACAACATCGGGGCTGGCAGCCCCGCCAGTGGCCCCGCCGCCACTTCCTCGGTCGGGTTCGGGGGCGCCGAGGCGTGTCCGCCCGTGCCGCCTCGCCACCAGCCTTTTTTTTGTGATCCCCCCCCCCACAGTGTTTTTTTTTTTTTGTGTGTGTGTGTGTGTGTGTTTTGTGTGTGTGTGTGTTTTGTGTGTGTGTGTGTGTGTGTGTGTTTTGTGTGTGTGTGTTTTGTGTGTGTGTGTGTGTTTTGTGTGTGTGTGTATGTGTGTGTGTGTGTGTTTTGTGTGTGAGTGTGTGTGTGTGTGTGTGTTTTGTGTGTGTGTGTGTGCTTTGTGTGTGTGTGTGTATGTGTGTGTGTGTGAGTGTGAGTGTGTGTGAGTGTGTGTGTGTGTTTTGTGTGTGTGTGTGTGTTTCGTGTGTGTGTGAGTGTGTGTGTGTGTGTGTTTTGTGTGTGTGTGTGCTTTGTGTGTGTGAGTGTGTGTGTGTGTGTTTATGATCTGGTGTGTCTCAGAGAACCGCCATCCGACCTCAAAACGCCTAAACGCCCCCAAACCATACCCAGAGCGCATTTCAGTGTTGCCAACATAATGACCCAAAGCCACCCCAAAAGTAGCCAAACAACACCTTACGTTTAAACAAAAAACATTCGATTACGTTCCGGAGTTGTACTACAAGCGCGTGTAACATTACAAGTGCTGCAGCGCATAATGCATGCGAACAGAGTTGCATTACGCGTGGCCGAGGTGAACCCCAGAGCGTTACCGACCTGGCTGCACGACAGCATTTCGGTACATTGCGCAATGCTGGTTGTGTAGAAAGCAGCGCTGTTTTCCAGGTCATCTTGAACGGGCCATCCGCGCCGCTCCAACCACATCACCATTGAGCGCGTCTTGCGTCGGTCGTTTGCCTGCCCGCGCGGGGCCGATTGTTGACTCAAGAGAGCCCTGGGGCACCACTGAGGGCATCGGTAGGCTCGATGGCCAGGCGCGCCCGAACAACAGGCCGACACGAAACCCGCAACCATGCAGGAAACACTCCGAGAATTGCAATGGCAGCCCCTACCCTCCAAGGTCCCGAGGGAGCTTTCACGA